GATCAAGGCAGAAATATATTAAATAGAGACTAAAAGAAAAGCAACTACAGAGCCATCGACTCAGAACATGGAACTGGTACTAAAGCAGACATCCAGACCAATGGGAGAAAGCAGAAGAACTAGAAATAAACCTGTGAAGGATACAGCCATCTGAGTTTTTCCAAAGGTGTCAAAAACACTTCCCCAGCCCTACCATCCACAGCACGTACAGCTTGTCTTGTAAGCTCAGGCCAAGCTTTACTCCAGAGCTGCTGCTATCCTTAACTGCTCCATAGTTCTGGCATCTCTGATATCCTGGGGTCTTTACTGAAGCTGAGGCTGCACCCTCACCAATAGCCTCCTGGCATCTCTTCAGGGACTCTGACCCTGCCTAGTGGTGCCTCAGTTTCCCTTCATTACACTTTTAATCCTGGGGATCTCACTGCTACTGAGGTCGTCCCTTCACCAATAGCCTCTTCTAGCCTCTCTTCAATGCCAAGCCTCAGCTGCTCTCGGTGACCACCCACCCCATGCCTTCAAGATCAGCACCATGTGGGAAACTCTTCACGTTACCAACCAAGTAGGGCTGCCTACATCAGGACTTCAGTTTCTGTGTGGGGGACCTGAAGAAGTACTCTCCAGAAGGTATCACCTCAATGATGCTGGTCTCTTATTAATCACAGCTGATTCTTCAGTCTTAGCTAAGTAACTAAGACTGCCCCTGTAAAACACAGCTTTTTCTTCCACAGATTATTGATTCTAATGTATAGCAGAAACAGCCATAGTTGTTGTTGTTTTACTCTTTTGGGGCCCTACCACCCAGCTCCCAAATAAATACACAAAGACTTCTTACTTATGAATGCCTGGCCTTAGCTTGGCTTATATCTAGCCAGCTTTTCATAACTTAAATTATCCCATTTACCTTTTGCCTCTGGGCTTTTACCTTTCTCTATTCTATATCCCTTTCTTTCCTTCTTACTCCATGGCTGGCTATGTGGCTAGATGGCTGGCCCTTGGCATCTTCCTCTCCCTCTCCTTTTCTCACTCCTCCCTTTTCTTTTTCTCCTTCTGTTTATTCTCTCCTGCCTAGCTATTGACTGTTCAGCTCTTTATTAGATCAATCAGGTGTTTTCAATAGGCAAAGTAACACAGCTTCACAGAGTTAAACAAATGCAACATAAAAGAATTTGCATCATTAAACAAATATTCCACAGCATGAACAAATGTAACACATCTTAAACTAACATTCCACATCAAGCAGCCTTGAGAGTCTTTGCTTCCCTCTGAAGCTTCACAAGTAATGCTTCCATTGCCTGCACCTTTCTCCCATCCAAGTACTAACCAGGCCCAATTCTGCTTAGCTTCTGAGAGCAGACAAAATTGCATGTATTCAGGATAGTATGGCTGTAGACCCTTATACCTTTCTCAACATTCCCATCTTCCAAGCTTCCATAACACTTCATTGGGCTTTGAGTTCTGAATGCCTTTTCCAACCCAAAGCTTCAAAATTGTAATCCTTGTCAAAAAAAAAGAAAGAAAGAAAGAAAGAAAGAAAGAAAGAAAGAAAGAAAGAAAGAAAGAAGGGAGGGAGGGAGGGAGAGAGAGAAAGAAAGAAAGAAAAAAAGAAGAAAGAAAGAAAGAAAGAAAGAAAGAAAGAAAGAAAGAAAGAAAGAAAGAAAGAAAGAAAATGTCTGATCCATTGCAGCAATATTCCACTCTCTGCTCCAAATTTCTGCTCTAGTTTTCTGTTGCTGTGATAAAACATAGACCAAACCCAACTTGAAGAGGAAGGGTGTCTTAGTTACTTCTCTATTGTTGTGAAAAGACACTATGCCCAAGGTAACTTACAGAAAGAAGAGCTTATGGAGAGTTACAGTTTCAGAGGGTGAGTTATGACCATCATGGCAGGAGGCATGGTGATGGAGCAGTATCTGAGAGCTTACATTTTAAAACACAAACACCAGGTAGAGAGAGAGGAGGGAAGGAAAGAAGGGGAGGGGAGAGGAAGAGAGAGAGAGACTGGGAATGGTGTGGGCTTTTAAAACCTCAAAGCCCACCCCCAGTGACATACTTCTTTCAACAAGGCCACACCTCCCAATCCTTCCCAAATGGTTCCATCAAATGGTGACCAAGTATTCAAACATATGAGGCTATGGGGGCCATTCTCATTCAAACCACAGACTGTGTTTGGTTTATAGAGTCTATCATTAAAAGAAGTCAGAACAAAAACTATGGAAGAACATTGCTTACAGGCTTGATTACTCTGGCTTGCTCAACCTGCCCTCTAACAAAACCTAGGCCCATCTACCCATGGTAGCACTGCCCACAATGGGCTGGGCCTTCCTTCATCATTCATTAATCAAGAAAATGCCCCCACAGACATGTCCAGGGGGCAATTTGATGGGGGCATTTTCTCAATTCAGGTCTCCTCTTTCCAGATGACTCTAGTTTGTGTCAAGTTGACAAAATATAATGGCTACAACCAGTCAGTCATAGGGGAAATATAAATTCACACAAGGGGAAATACTACTAGGAGGCCCCCAGAATAGCTACTGAAAAGGCAGACATTACCAAGTGTTGCTGAAATTAAGGAGCAGCAAATCTCCTCTCACACACTGGTGCTGTTTAAATTGTTACATGTGTATTGGTGAGGTGTTTGCCATATTTATGATGGCAGAGCATATCTACTCTCTGTGCCTTCCACTCCATCAATCCAGCAATTCCATTCTTAACTACATCCCACTTACATTCTCCAAAATGTATGTATGTACAAGAATATTCATGGCAACGCTCCTTGTAAGAGTCAAAACAACAGAGTGGATGCATGTACTTTTGACATCTTCTTTCTGCTGATTTGGATTTTGTTGTTCTTGTTTATTTGTTTTGTTTCTGTTTTGTAGGTTAACAAAGTAATGGTTTGTTAACCTACAGAATAGTTCCCACTTCCAGTAGTTCCCCCATTTGCTTTCACCTCACATGTGTTCCATTACTTTTTTTTAATCCTTGCTTCTCCTTTAAGCTCTCGACCTCCCCTCTCCCAGTCCCCTTCTACTTTACACACACATACAATTAACTTACAGTCCCATATGAGAAAAATCATAAAGCATCTGTCTTGTTTGTTTGTTTGTTTGTTTTTCAAGGCATAGACATGGCTGTTCTGGAATGTGATCTGTAGATCAGGCTGGCCTCAAACTCAGAGATCTACCTGCCTCTGCCTCCCCAGGACTGGGATTAAAGGTGTACACCACCACCACTTAGGGGAGCATCTGTCTTTTGAAGGTGAATTATTCCATGTAAGACTATGAGTTCCTGTTCCATCCGGTTTCCTGAAGATGGCATTTATTCGTCCTTAATCCCATTGTGTATGAGCACCACATCACGTTTTCTTTATTCATTATTCTGTGGTTGAACACTGAGGCTGAGTTCTTATCTATTGAGACTAGTGTGGCAATGAACATTGATTGATCTGCAAATATCTCTAAAATATGTAGAGTTCTTTGGGTAAATGTCCAGAAGTGATATGGCTGGTTCACATGACAAATCTACTTTTAGTTTTTGAGGAATCTCCACATTGATTCTTATAGTAACTGAACTGATTACATGACCACAAATGTATAAGGACCCTTTATCTTTAAATCCCCACAGCATCTGTTACTTGTATTTTTATATAATAATTTAAAGCTTTCTGGCTGGGCGGTGGCGCATGCCTTTAATCCCAGTGCTCGGGAGGCAGAGGCAGGCAGATCTCTGTGAGTTTGAGGCCAGCCTGGGCCACCAAGTGAGTTCCGGGAAAGGCGCAAAGCTATACAGAGAAACCCTGTCTCGAAAAACCATAAATAAATAAATAAATAAATAAATAAATAAATAAATAAATAAATAAAGCTTTCTATATTACACATCCCTTAGCAAATTATTATAATTTTACATTTTAACAAATTTATCTTTTAATCTTCAAATTAAAGATATGAGTGGGGTTTTTGTCATTTTTTGGTTTGGTTTGGGGGGGTTGTTTTATCTATCTTTAATAAAATATTTTATTAATTCTTCTTTGAGAATTTTATATACTGTATTTCCATTATATTCACTCCACTCCTTCTCCTAACTCCTTCCAGATCCATTTCCCCACCTCTCCACCCTTTCCCAATGTCAAATCCTCCTTTGTATTTTTTTTTTTTTCTGGAGTTGAGGACCGAACCCAGGGCCTTGCGCTTGCTAGGCAAGATTTCTACCACTGAGCTAAATCCCCAAACCCCCCTCCTTTGTATTTTAATAACCAGCTGAATCAACTTTATGTTGCCCATATGCTGATGAATGTGAGGCTCTCCATTGGAACATGGCTGATTTACATGCCACTGTTACATTGTTACATTTAGTGGAGTTTACTTCTCCTTTATTTTTTTCTTTCCCCTGCTTTTTTTTTCCTATGTCAGGCTGGGTCAAGAACGCAAGATCTAGACCTGGATAGTTGGCCAGGTTTCTAATATCGAGCAGGAGAACCTGTCTCCAAAAAAGACAGAGGAGAGAAAGTATAAATTCTTTATCAGCCTTAATCTTAAATCCCATGACACATATGAAAATTTCCATAAATCCAGGAAGAATATTGCTGGTAACCCCTTACACTGTCTGGCTTTATCTTTACAATGGTGTAGGCACCATTTAAACATTAACGGCAAAGAGTAAAGCCTCCTGTGCACCCAGACCTGAGCAGCATTTGGAGAAGTGGTGTTTTAAATGTTCTGGCTACGTGATGAGAAGAGTGGGTTGGCTATGGGACACATGGCCTCTGAGCAGCAACTCTCTTACACCTGAACCTACAGCAAAACTTACGAATTAGGGAAGGTGAGGCCAGCCCTGACAGACCCTAAGAACAGAACATTATCTCCCTAACCCCTGGAAAGTGGGTAAGGGTGAGGCTTGAAAGAAACCAGCTAAGTCCTTCCGGTTCAGGCTGATAACACTTCCGTTGTTTTTTTTTTTTTCCTCACCTGTGAGCCACAGCACCACCTGCTGGTTATCTGGCACCCAGCGCTGATCCAAACAGATCTTTCTTCCATGTTCACCTGGCAATTTTCTTAGGAGATGAAACCAAGGAGTCTCACACTGTTCACAACAACCATCCTCCTTTGCCTCAGCATGGTGCAGCCTAGAATAAAGAAGAAAAGAGGTGATGCAGCGGGGTGCTGGAGGTACTAGGGGAGGGGAGCATTTTCCCACGTGGGAATCCTGTGGAACCAGCTAGTGGGTCCTTGCAGTGATCCCACCGGTGCTTCCTATTCACTCAAGGGCATTTTTTCTGCAGTAACGACGCCAAAACCTGGGTACTGCCCGGAATTTTTTCTCCCCTGCCCGTTTGTCCGCTTACCCGTATGCAAGCTTGATAAAGGGTGCAGGGGCATCAAAAAGTGCTGTTTCTACTACTGCCAGATGCGCTGTGTGGAACCTTGGACAACCGCTACTTGAAGTGAGTGGCCCCGGACCTGCTGTACTCGGTGCTGCCCCAGAAACGTGTCCGTGGATCCATCTTACCTGCCTTAGAGCTGAGTGTTCAGCACCTGTGGAAATCACTGGGATCAGAGCTTTTAAGTTGGGGGTTGCCTGGAAAACATAACATTCAGGCAGGAAGTGTGTCCCACACCTGTAATCCTAGCACTTGAAAGATTGAGGGAGGGATTAGGAGTCCAGTGTCATCTCTGGCTACATAGAGAGTGTGAGGTCAGCCTGGACTACATAACACCCTGCTTGAAATGGGCATCGGACTTCCCTGTATGATGAGATCATCTGGACAGCATTATCTCTAAGCCACCCAACTATCACTGAATTTTTTGTCATGATTATTTTCAACTGACCCATTTCTCAGTTTGTTGTATTTCACATTTAAATTGAAAAGTAAGGGATTATGAGTTCATAATTTCATAGTGGAATTGCCTAGAATCCCCCAGCCCTCAGTCCCCAATTCTTTGACAGACAGCACATCCCAGTTCTCTTGGCAGAAGAGAACCTAGCAAGACTCAGGCCACGGTGGCAGTGGGATCCCAAAGCATGTCCCCAGAAGTTTACAACTGCTTCTGTTTCTGATTCTTCTCTTCCTAGGTGGAAACCCTTTCTTAACCAAGCCTGGGAAGATATGGTGCCATTGGCTCCAACTTGGATGGCTGACCTCAAGTTCCTCTGTCTCACAGGCCCCTTTTATTTGTGGGTTAAATGCTTATTAATATTAAAGCAAAGCAAACAAACAAATCTCTATGTAATAACTGTTTCTTGGTGTCATAGTCAACTGCTTGAAGCCAGATACTTTATATAGAGAAGAGGTTTGTTTCCCTTCTAGTTCTGGAGGCTCAGGAACACACTCAGTCTGTCTTTAGCTCTAGTCAGGGACCCGAGGTAAATGGCACCACACAGTGGTGGCAACACATGTGAAAGTCAAGAGCAGTGCATGCAGAAAAAATAAGGGGAGGCACCAGCCTATGCCAAAGGAATTCCCAGTTCCACCAGATGTGTGCATTGATTGCTTCTGAAGGTGTTCCTCACATGACCTAATCAGCTGCCACCAGACCGTACTGCTTAAAGGCCACACTGAACACAGGCTTGCCATACACGAACTCTTCAGAGAAACACTCAAAACAAATCAAACCCTGTGTATTTTCAACTGTGTGGAGCTCTGTAAGACGTCTCTCTTCACCCCTCCTCTCCTCTCTACCTCCTTCCTGCTCTTCTGTCCTCTTCCCCTCCCCGCCCCCTCCTTCCTTCCCTTCCATCCTCCCCCTTCCCTCTCTTCCATAGATCAGATTCCAGAGATTTTAGGGTCAAATTTTTAGTGTTTGTACCTTATGGAGGAAATCCTAAAATGGACGATCACATCACGTGTATTACAGCTTCCTGGACACAGGTGCTGTGTCCTTCCCACATCTTTATCTAGGAAATTTGGAGCTTTGAGTTAGAAACAAGTCAGGAACCATCTTTCATCTGGAGTGTTTAAAGACTGGGGAGATGCTCCATAGATCAAATGTCTGCTGCATAAGCATTCCCAGGCCCATGTGTAGCACATGCCTGTAATCCCAACGCTGGGAGGTGGAGACAGGAGCCTCTCAGAGGCTATCTGGTCAGCCATAGCTAGCCAATTAATGAACTCTAGGTTCAATGAGTGACCCTGTCTCAAAAAGTAAGCTGGAGATTGATAGAGGAAGATGCCCAGTGTTGACCTCTGACCTCCACATGCACACACATACGCATTATACTCAGAGAGGAGGGTGGGGTGTTGTTGTTTGTTTGTTTGTTTTTAACTCTTTACTCTTTGCTCTTTGGGTGAGGCCTTCACCCAGCTCCCA